AACGAGACATTACTGAAATAATACTGCACATAACATGTAGAAAATTAATTCGAAAACGCATGAAGATATTTTTTGGCACATCCAATGTTAGTTACAAATTGACACTCAATTTTTTTGTCATGATTATTACAACATTTTCATACTCATTTTCTGAACTTTTGTGTACATTTTCATATTGAAAAAGATGTAAACAATTCCATTGGATTTTTTTTTTAACAAGAAAAGGATGGTTCTGATTAAAAGTTATTTCCATTTACTATTGGTTTTTGTTTAAAAAACATGTATCCCAATTTTTAAACATATTTGTAGAGGTTTGAAAAAAAGATTTTAAAATACTTTATCAAAATTTCATAGGTCTAGCTATTGAATTTGATACGGAAACCTGGGCTCACTTCTCCGTCTGGTGTTGTGCTATCAGTTGTGAATCGGAAAAACATACTTCTCCCCAACTGTGACTGTCGGTTGGCTGGCAGATCCTGCAAATTAAACAATATTTTTCATTAAAGAATTCTTGAAATAATTACTGATTATCAAAGTGTATAAGTTTGTTCCAGTAAATTCCATCACGGGTACACGTTCTTAACCTTTTCACAAGTTCGTAAAATAATTTATAGTCTTCACATTCCTTCAAATGATTAGGACAAAAATAGACAAATTTTTTTAAGTAAAAACTGAAAATTGACATATATTTTGTGTTGGCTCAAAAATGGATTCATTTCCAGGAATATTCAAGAATATAAAAAAAAAAGAGCAGAATAATTAGGTTGAAAAAGTTAGACTCAGCGACATAAAATGGATAATTTAGATACTGTGACTTGTGTTGACTTTGACATTCAACAGTTTTGTCCACAATGACACTAACGTATAAAAGTTGTATATTCATTAAATAATATTTATCTTACCGATCCACAGAATGAGCCAAGCGGAGAGCCATTTTCTTGACTATCACCGTCCCATATTTCTAATTTATCATTACTGCACACGCCAGAAGTGCCCTCTATGTTCATCCATGTAAACTCAATTGAGACAGGCTGCCTTCCAGCGGGGACTGTCACCAACCATTCACATACAAGATTCTCTCCATAAGAACCCGGAAATCCAGGACTGGTAAAACTGCCAGTATAAACCGTGAAATTGCCACCACAGCCTAAAAAGATAAAGGTGGTACTTTACAGACGTCATCTCGCATAGTTACATGTTACATTGTTGCATTGGCACCAATCACTTATAGCGAACTTGTCACACATAAATGGGAAAATAACGACAGGTTGCACGAAAGCTGTACTGCACTTTTTGATTGGACAAAAGAAAAAAAACACTAAAATAGTGACAGGCGTATTTATAACTACTGATATAATATCACAGGGACATCAAAATGAGAAATTTAAATTCAAAATCAAATCATAAAATTTTTGTAGCAGGCATTTAAAGTTGTTTTGATTCCTGCAGGATACAATCATGCATTCAAACTACTTACCAGAGGTGGAGGAACTTGTTGAAGTAAAAGTTGCTTCGTATCCTGGAAGTGCGACTGATCGGTCTGTCACAAACCTTACAAACATCAGATTACCAGAGGCAAAGATGGGATCAGGCAGAGAGCCAGAACCACAAAGCTTTCCCAAAACAGGAGAGGTCATATTGTCTCCATCATAAATCTGACAAGAAATTGTAAGTTATTAATCAGACTTGCTGTCTTTAATATCACAAGAGTTCAGGAATACTTGTAGCTATAACATTTTGTGTTTTCCTGAACATCATCAAACCACAACACTTAATCAATTAATTAAAAGGTTGTAAATTTAGTCTTTCAAAAATAAACTTGATGAAGAGAATTAAAACTTTCCTATACAACCACAGAATATAGAACACTATTTAAGGAGAAAAATAAAGTTTTATGACCGTTTCACTCAACAATATATGGTCTATTGAATTCCAAATATATATTTTTAAGTGATTGAAGTTAAAAAACAGATGTTTGAGGTTATTATGAGGATACCGCAAAGTATGCACTGTATGTCATTCGATACTTCCGCTGTACTTTCTTTGTGCATACTTTGAGGTACCATATAATGATATATAGAGAGTCCATTTGTCAAGACTACATACAGTGATACAAATGGACTTACTTTGATATGTTCTGGCACTGAATTCATGCATGAATGAATGAATACTAGAGAACACCACTTACTTGAAGGTAGTCATAGTTACAGTTGATGTGATACTCCATTTGAAAAGTGTTGAAATATAAAGCAATTTTAGTACCAGGTGGTGATGTTATTGTAACTTGGCAATCTAAGTGTGAAGGGTAATTATTGGGGTAGTTAGGACTGGTCAGACGTCCATTATTCAACATCAGCGCTTTACTGCAGCCTAGAAAGAAATGAAAATGTTACCAATTATAATTTATTAACACTCAAACATCCCCTGAGGGGATTGAAAACAACTAGAGAAAAAATTAAAAAAACACTTGTCAGCATGGTGCATGTATGCACTGTACTGTTTTACAAGTCTTCAAGGCAATGACAAAGTTTTTACATAAATTGTGAAATTTGTTTACACACCAACATGTGTAAGGCATTACCAAATATAATATAAGTTTGAATAGAATAGGATCAACATAGTGCCAGTAACAGATGTTTAGGATAGTGTGATGTCTGTAAAATTAAAAGTTAATTCTAATTTCTGAAAATGTCAGTCATCATTTATTTCCATTTCTGCATGCATTAGTCTGCTCAGCATGAAATATATTATGACTTGTCACGACAATTTGCATGTTCAATGACGGAGATGACAAAAAGGTGTGAACTTGTGTGTATTTATTTCAAATAAATTCAGGTTATTTTGAGACTGA